GTCGGGTACTCTGTGGTGTTCCTGGTGTGGGTTTGTGAAGAATATGAAGGGCAGTGGGGTTCTTGTGAGGCACACTGCATGACTTGAGTGCAGTCAGTGAACTTTCTCTTCTCTCCCACCAAGAAGCTCCACAGAGGGGCTAACTAGGACACCACAGGGTTGAATTAAAACCAGGAAAGCATTTTGCAAGTATTCTGACCTACATGGATAAACCTGGAGGAACGTCCTTTCTCTCACTTCAGTACTGGATGAAATAATTGCTGCTGCTCCTGAGTAGGTTTGTTTCCCTTCCTGTGGCTCCAGTTCAATACTCAAAGCACCGAGAAGTCCAAATGTGGTGTACCAAAGTAGACTTCAGTGTCTTTACATCAGTTCTGTGTTCTGTATTCAAATTCTTCTAATTTTCAATAATCCTACTGAGTGTTTTTTAACTAGTGTGACTCCAATGAACCAGCCACCTCTTGTGAAGTCACACACAGGGCGATCCAACCCATGTGACCTTAAATGAAGTTGCAGAAAATTTTCAGAAGTATGGCAGTACCACAGTGGTGAGCATAAGTGAAGCAATTCCCAACACTGCTCTTCTGTTAAGGAAGGTTCTGGACTGGCCATCCRATGATGGTATGCTGCCATCCAACCAGACTGGAAGGTTGGTAGTGTCTTATAAAATAAAGTTTCCTGAAGAACCTGGTTGTGATGTTGCTGTCACTGGGCTGAAGGCCCTAGGAGAGCACTAGTGCTTGGTGCCCTTGCATTATTCAAAGGTGGAACAAAATATGAAGTAAAGTTCAGAAGACTAAAGTGAAGTAGAACTTTTCTATTATGATAAATATTGCCCTAAAATGCAGCTGCACTTCATAGACAGCAGTAGTCATAGAAGCAACTGTTACAGTCAATAAACTGAACTGTGTGATGCTATTAGCTTGGAAATGGAATTTAAGGTAGGACCAGGTTTATGGTATGTATTAGCCAAATGCAGGCTTACTGAATGATAAGTCTAATGAAGCTTCAGTAGGCATATTGATAAGCAGTTGTACCAGGCCTCAAGCTTGGCAGAATTGCAACTTCTGTCTTCAAATTATGATCAACTTAGCAGAAAATGCCTTGCTGTCCAATCTTTAAAATGTGCTTACCCTTTCTATCAACTGACCTGCCTTATTTATGTCTTCTTCAAATCTATGCCCACACCCAAATCTTTTCAATATGTAAGAAATGTAGAGACTAGGTAACAAAATACTGAGCATCACATAGAGAATTAAAATCCCACAAGCCATGAACAACAGCCTAGACCTTCTGTGGTCTATCCCCTCAGTCAGTTCACATGTTGCTAGTAAGGCCTGTGTGGCTGTTTGCCTGCTACTTTATGTTTATATCTACCACATTTAAAACAGTACACATCAGGTTTGTGTAACCATTGATTTTGTTGGCCTTTGTCCAAGTCTTATGATGATTTCTTAATGTCTTTCTATAAATTCTGTTTTGTTCTGCTATGAAACTTCCATTTTGAAAATCACAAACCTCTAGTTGAAAAGTTCATGTAAAGTCCACATTGTACAGAAGCACATATCTTTAGTGTCTCCAGACAAAAGAAAAGTCTTAAAGTTTAATTTAATGTTTGCACTTTTGGGCACAACTTGAAAGAGGGCCTGAAGAAAAAGTTGGAGTGAACCATTGAACCATTAAATATTTTTAGCAAAATGTGTTTGCCTTCTGCAGGACATATGCCCTTTAATTTTGTAAATATTCTTTTAAAGTAGAGATGATTTGTGGTTGTAACCGAAATAACACTTAATCATAAAATTTTTTAAAATCCTGTAATTTTTTTCCATATCTATTGAAAGTTGTTTACCAACTATTTTTGTAAGAAGTGTAACTTTTTCCCTTCTCTTCCCAACCTCTCTTGCAAAGATAGAAGTGAATTTCTGCTGTTGAATTCAGCAGCTATCTAATACTTTATATGCCTGTTGAGCTATGTGATATAATAGCTGCATGTTTAATAATGTGTTTTGTTGTATAACCCATAAAATGATGATTTATATCGATGTTAGCTCATCTGTATACATGTACTACTTGGAAAGTGTTTATTTGTGATTGTAGTCCTGTGGATGAAATAATTTGTCAGTGTTCTCCAACTTGTAAAACTTACTACAAGAGTTTAAGCTCCTCAGGAAATAATGAAATAGGAAAAAGAGTTAAGGATCACTACTAAGTATATGGAAATATAATGTAGAACTTCTAAAACACAAGATGGAAGACATTGAATTTTAAAACTTGATTTGAAAAAAAAAAGATGGGAAAAAGAAAAAAGGTAAAGGAGGATAAAATATAATACAAAATTAAGTGGGTAGCAGTAATTCCAAAAATATCAGGAATTGTTGAGAGCCACAGCCGAAGGGGCCCCAGCAAACTTCCAGCTGCCAGCTGATGATTGGCTCACAGCGGCCCCTGCAACTTTTAGCTGCCAACTGATTGGCTCCTCTGCGGTGATGCTCATTGGGCTGTTTCCCTGCCCTTTCAGACCACGGAGCTGCTCATTGGGGGACTTTTTTGGCTCCGCCCACGTGACCCAGCCAATTGGCCTCAAGAGCAGGAGGGGCGGGGGAGGTGGAGAGGCTTGTGGGAAGCTGGTGGTGGCAGTTGGGCTCTGAAGGTTTTTCCTGAGGAGCAATTTTGTTTGGCATGTGTGGTTCTAAAAATAAAGTTTGTTTCTTTTGACAAGTGGCTCCCACTCCTGCTGTATCAATGTACACAAGTTGCTCGTCACCCCAGGTTATTTTGCTGCAGCTGGACTGCGGCAAGGAATCACAAAATGTAAAAGGACTAAACTTTCTTCCTAGAAGACAGGGATTATATAAAAATTAAGACCAACTACACAATATTTACAAAAGAAACACCTTAAATTTAAGGATATAAGACAATAAAAGTAGGTAGTTGACATAAGGTATGTCAGGCAAATATTAAGTAAAAGAAAGCAGAGGTCATTACATTAATAGGAAATAAAACCCCAAACTTTGGGCTGAGAATATAGCTCAATTGGTAGAGTGCTTGTCTTGAATGCCCAGGGCCCTGGGTTCAATCCCCAGCACCCAAACAAACAAAACCCCCAAACTTTAGACAGTTTTATTAAAGAAAAAAAAACTCACAATGTAAGGATTAAAGGTTTAATTTACCAGGAAGGTATAACATTGTTAAACTATTAGGCCTTTAATTACACAGATTTGCAATATATAAAACAAAAATTGATAGTCTAACAAGGAAAGATTGAAAAAATGTACATCACAATAGGATATTGAGGACAGTAATCATTCTAACAATCTGATAAGCCACAATTAGGGTTTCAGATAAAACTTCTAATTAGGATAAAATGTAGATTCCCAAAAGTGTCAACCCACACTACTTACATGGATTTAGCAAGTGGTTCTTACAAAGTCCTTATATAGTTTGTCATTTTATAATGTCCTTTTCCTGTAAACAAATTTCTCTTTGCCAGGAAGAAACATTTTAAACCAAACTATTGGAGCTGGAGATTTAGCTTAGTGACAGAAAACTTGCCTAGGATGCAGCAGGCTCTGGGTTGAATCCCCAGGACCACAAAAACAAACAAAAATAAAATAAATCAATCTGTTGATCTATTTGTAAATAAATAAACAGCCATCACAGTAACCAAACATTGAACCCATTCGAATCCTCTATAAATGAAGATTCAGAGCAGTTTCTTAGACTGGATCTGTGAGGTACTGTCTTTCTTTGCTTTTTTTTCCGTTTTGAAACCTATATTCATTACCTCCTTTCCTTTTTTTCAATCCTGACCACCTCCCCCCATAATAATTTCAAATCAATACTAATGAGTTGCATGAGGAGAATTGTGTTGGTCATTGAGGAAAGATGTTTCTTTACTAATTGTGTGCTAATAGCTTGGAGGCTTTCCAAAAAAAAAAAAGCCTTCTCAACAGAAGCAACTTTCTCTCACCCGCTCTTAGCTGTCTCTGAGGATCAAAGCACATATGCACTGTGTTGCACAAACTCAGGGTCCATGGCTGAATGCCCTTAGAGAAGCTGGATTGTAACTGAGCAATCCATTACCATCTCTGACTCCTCCTTACTTTATACCACTAGAAAATGGGGACAGTTACCTTGTGGACCATAATAAACAGGAGATTATGAAAAATGCCTGGAAAAGTTCCTGAGTAGCTATTATTAGGAATACTCTTCTTATCAGTATTATGGTTAATCATAAGTATTTGATTGCTTCAGCAGAAAAATAGAGACTCCCTGGAAACCAAGGCAGGACTGGGCTGAGTTTTGCTGCCTCTGGTTTGTAAGCTTATAAAAGACTTCACTTCTGTCCTTTCTTTTTTTTTTTTTCCTTTCGATAATCTTGAGACACATATTTTCTATCTACTGTTGTTTTAAAGGTCATCTTGAATTGATTCTGCCCCATATCATTTCAGCATATCCCCTTTGTTAACCTGTAATATCATGACGGCTGGTATTTGACAGGGGCACTTGTTTCCATAGTTTTATATTCAATGCAAGAAAATATAAACTCTTGAAGGATAGGTAATTTTTAGTAACTAGAGATTTTAATAGCAGTACTATTTTAATTCTCCTAGTTATTTGGTATTAATTTCCTATAACTATATCCAGATGTGCATGCAGTATGTAGATCCTATGAACAAAATGCTGGCAACCATTTGGTAAATTGTCTCTGAAATTTTCTTTCTCTGGACTTAGTTTTATTCATTCTGAAAGTAGCAACCCTTTGCTTAGAGTAGAAACATTTTAAATCATTGGTACTGTGATACCTAATGTCACTGATACTAGAGTAAATGTCAGTTTGAGTAAAAGATACTCTGAGAACCAGTGTGAATTCAGCAGGTAATTTAAGTTGTTTTCCTGGCCAGTCATAACTTGAAATACAGAAAAATTACATGATCCTTATGTCTTATTTGGTGGATTTTCTTCTTTGGTCTGATTTCTTTTTTTGCTTATGTTTTCAGGCTCAGCTATGTGAATCATGCAGAAGATCTGGCCTCTAAGCTCCTACAGTGTTCCCCAAAGAACAGACTATCAGCACAGGCTGCCTTGAGCCATGAGTATTTTAGTGACCTTCCCCCACGGCTATGGGAACTGACTGATAGTGAGTATGACACATCTGCATATCCAATCAAAGTACTTTATTATCTATAGAGAACATACATGTAGAGAGATTCATTTGCTTATGTGTGCACAAACACAAGATCATGGATATATGTGTTTGCATTTTGTGTGTGGGGGTGGGTAGGTGGGGAGGAGGGAGAGAGAGAGAAGGAGCACGTGAGTGCACAAGAGCAGGGACGGGGGACACGTGTATATATATTTAGTGGAATCCTGCCATTCAATTTCTAGCTTACCAGACACAGGAAGAAAATGGATTCCTTCTTTGCTATCTCTGCTCTGCAGTCTGCAGCTGTGCATCTTTGTATTTGATTATGTGTGTGTCCAAAAAATGATCTGAGCAGTCATAAAGGAAAAAGGAAAATATGATTTACATATTTAGTGCTTTATGCATACAGTACTATTTTAACTGGCTGCAGTACACAGCGGAGAAATGATTCATTTCTGTTTAATTCTCAGAAACCATCTTGGTTGTAACAATAACCTTAAAAAGGACTGCTATTCTGTGAGCTGAGGAACAGAGTTGGCAATTGGCTAATGCACTGAATTGACATGTAAAGACTGAAGACATGTAATTCATTTTAACTGCACATGCTCTTGGTATTTGTACAGACAGCTCTTCTCTAGATCTTTTAAAACAAAACACATTCCTGGGTGGGTTTGTGTTTTGTTTTTACAAAAGTATTCTTTCTTACACAGGCTTTTTCAATTACATTTAAAATATTTGGGGGAGGATTTATGGCTGGGAGGATCTCAGCTTTCTTCCCAAGTGTGAAACAGAATTCTTGTGAAATTTTGCAGAACACTGTTGCAGTAGGAATATTTTTGTTCAATGGTGATGCATTCTTTTTAAATGCCCATTATATTTTTTCTCATACTCTTCTGATTGCCTTAAAATAACATACTGCCTATATGCACAAATATTTGTGATATGTGTATTAATCCTTGTGTATACAACATTTACAGTAGACACAAAGTTAATTTCCTTTGTCTCTTGAATTTTAGTTTTTTCCCCTCCTCTTTGCAGCACTRGTTTCTCCTTTACAGTAGCCCTTTACTTTATAACTAAACCCCAAGTAACAACTCCTGTTGAGTATTCCTACCCTAAACCTTTTTTGCTATCCCACACTTACTTCCAACAACTTTTWTACCTGAAAGTGACTATAGGTATATTAATCTACTACTCCCCTTGTGCTTAGCAAATTCTCATTAACATTTCATATAGTCCCTGTCCATATTTACTCTATATTCTGCTCTACTTCCTTTCTAAAAATCTACCCACTGGCCATCATTATAACAGTTATTCCCCCAAATAAAAAAAAGAAAACATGAAATTTCTATGGAAAATAATGATTTTGTGACACATCTTACTATACTGAGGAAAAAAAAAAACAGATGTATATAGGCTCATTCATTTACTGCTCACCACACTCAAGCATATGGCTTGTTTTCCCTCTTTAGTGGAACTTGTAACTTGATATCAGTCCTCCTTTGTGACATCTCAATCCCATCTGACTTGATGATTGAGTTTAAGCCAGGATTTTGATGGTCTATGAATTCTGAATTCTGTAGTAGTACTTTTCTGCTAATATGGACTTATTACCCACTTGCCACTTAGTTTATCAGCCAGTGGTTAAATCCAGTTTCTATCAGTGAGTAAATGCCTACACATTATCACTCCACAGCAGACTGCCAGCGGAGACAGCCTTGTCCCCATCATTAACAAGCACAATGTATGCAGAACACCAGAGGGGAATTAAAACCACAAAAAATACCTCAGGGTGGTATTTTTAATATGAGAATTTAATTTGTAATTTCACAGATTAAGAATTTTGGCTGCATTAATCCCTTTATCAGCTCACAGCAGGCTATTTGCAGAAGCATAACCATAAGGCGATATTCATTGGCAGAAACACGTCTTTGCATAACGTTAAACATCAGGAGCAGTGAAACCTTTTGAAGGGGGGAGAATAAAGATGAAAAATCATTATATTTTTAAGGCAAGATTCTACTAAATGCCTCCGGTAACAATTTTGAGTTACAGAAATGCTATTTCTGTGTCTAGAAGATAATCRTTATGAAGCATAAATCCAGTCGCAAGCAAGGACAATCCCAGTGTTAAATACTAYAGTCATTTCCATTTAGAACAACGCGGCTGTACTTGTAAACATGTTTACAAAACAAAGAATTCCCCAGTTCAGAGACTTTGAGCATTATTCCTTTAAGTGAAATGACTGGTTTTGGTGACTCTCTTGTCTGGGTTAATATTCTGCAGACTACGTTTAGAAATTCTTAAAATTAAGTTTCGTGTTACTGTAGTCTTATGAAAGTTCTCCATCTGACTCCATGGCAGCCGCAGTAGCAGCAGCTGAGAGCCCTCAAGTGCTTCTCTTCCAAGGGGAGTTGGAAGAAGGTCCACTTGGGAGGAAGAAGTGTTGCAGAATCAATAAATGGATTGTCTTAGCAACCAAGTCATTGTTCAGACTCACCAATTCCAGGAACCTCGCTGTCCTCATCAGCTCAAACTGCTATGACAAAATACCACAGAGTGGGTGGCTTAAACAATAGGCACTTATTACTCACAGCTCTGAGGACGGGAAGTTCAAGATGAAGGTGCCCACAGAATGATTCCTGCTGAGGTCTGTCCTTCTGGCTGGCAGAGGGCCTGCTTGCTGTGTCCTCACAGGGTAGATAGAACACTTCTCTCTTCCTCTTCTGACAAAGCTACTAATCACATCACAAGTGACCCACCCTCCTGACCTCCTCTAATCCTAACCACCTCTGTAGGCCCCATTTCCAAATAACATCACGTTGAGGTTTAGGGCATCAATTCCAACAGGTAGTACAACCAGGTTAAAAGTAGAAGACTGTAGGCATAGTGACACATGCCTRTAATCCCAGCCACTCAGGAGGCTGGGGCAGGACAATCCAAAGTTTGAGGCCAGTCTCAGCAAATTAGCAAGGTTCTAAACAAACAGAGTATGAGACCCTGTGTCAAAATATGAAGGACCAGAGATGTAGTTCAGTGGTTAAGTGCCCTTGGGTTTAATCCCCACTATCATAATAATCACAATCATCATAATAATCATGATAATTTTAAAAAGGAGGCTGGGAACAAAAATATTAGTGCCCCCTAGCCTTCTTGGTGTGCTCTGATCTGTCAGACCCTTGAGAAGAGCTTCAGGGTTATTGTAGCCTAGGTACTGCAGGGAACAGCAGCTGTTCTATAGAATTGTATATAAAAAAAAAGTGTTATGCTTAGGCTAGACTCTTATTTGCTTTGGAAGAAAACAATAATGTAATATCTTTGATATTTGACTATTCCTTAAAAACTCATCAAGTTACTGATATGAATGGAACTTTCAGGTTTCTTTATCAACTTAGAGGCCCAGGCAGAAGAGTACCCACAGAGGTCCACCTGCATGGGTCATTTCACAGAGGCTTTACCCTCAGGAGACAAATCTCAGAAATGGCTGCAGTTATACAAACACAATGTGAAAGTTTACAAGTTCTAGTACTTATAKGTCCTGAGGGGTACACTACATGCCTGTAGTACAGAAGTCAGGGAGCACAGTCACCAAGAGGAGGGACACTGAAGTCAATACCTTTGGGTAGTCCAGGGTTTTCTTCCAAACAGATTTCCCCTGGGGAGTTTTAATTGGCAGATTTAAAGCAAACAGACAAGAATTCCTTTCGTCTTACTGTTACTGGCGGTGGCTACTACATATGTCCCCACAGTCCATGCAGGGTGGGAGGGTCATGGGGCCAGTCCAGCAGGCCATGCCTGGATGTCCCCTAGGGAAGTAGTCATCAGGGAGCAGCTATATAGGGCAGGTGCCTAGATGGACCAAACTGAGGAACTAGAGTGGGGGATGTGTAAGAACTGGAAATTGTGTCAGGGCGACTGAGCCCTGCTTTTCGTATGAGAAAATTCAGCTTATGTTCAAAATGGATGCTGAAGCACATTAAAACTGAGCATTCATTGCAGTTGCATAACATCAAAATTTAGAAGTAATGTATTGGTGGAATTATAAATGCATCAAGCAAGAATAAATGATATAGTTACCTGGGGTCTGGCAGTTCAAACTGGCTAATTCCACTGGCACCCTATCATTCTCCCTCTGTCCTAAAACCCCAACAGCCTTGCCCCACTTCTTCACAAAGATTTAATTGCAGGAAAGTAAATGGAGGGCTGATTTAGAAGAAATTCATTACTTTTCCCCAAATACACCACAGGGCATTCTCCTGTGTATACTATCAAGTTACATAAATAATTGAGGCTGAACTACCCTTGTCAAAGTAAATGAACAAAATACACTTCATAGCACAGAGTCCTTGATTTTATTACATTCATTTGCTAATTCACAAAACTCAAATTCAGTAAAAGAAGGCCAACAAATTGGTTCAGTCTAAAGAAAACTGAGCTGGGAATCAGACCACCTGGCTTCTGGCTTCAGCTCCAATGTTACCTAGTAGGGCAACCTTGGACAGGTGCCTCAGACTCCCTGGACTTCAGATTTCTCATTTAYAGATGGACCTTTCCAGATCTGTAGTTTTTCCTGCATCGTCTTACATATTATCCTAAAACAACAAGATGCCACTATGTGACTCCGTGCCATTATTTCAAAAATAAAAAAAGCACACCCATTTCAAATATATCTACATCCTCTAGGACAAACTTCTGTTCTTTCCTGAGTCCTTGCAACCAGGCCCTTAAGTCCACAACTCCTGAACTTCTGTTTTCAAAGTTTCTGGTGTCTTTTCCCAGGCTTCATCATTTTATATATATATATATATATTTGTAGATGAACACAATACCTTTATTTTGTTTATTTAATTTTTTTATGTGGTGCTGGGCATCGGACTCAGTGCCTCATGCATGCTAGGCAGGCACTTTAATACTGAGCCACAACCCCAGCCCCCCAGCCTTCATCTTGATCAGCAGAATTTAACATGGTTGGCCACCTCCTCCTCATGGCACTGCCTTCCCTTGGCTTCCTCTTAAACTCTCTTGTTCATACTGGTTTCTCTTCTGTAGACCTCTCATTGTTCCAGTGTCCTGAGGCTTAATCCTCAGGTCTTTCTATCTGCATGCACTTCTTGGAGCCCTGATGATCTTATCCAATCTCAAGATTTAAATATCATCATCGAAACATGGTTCTATCTCCAGCTCTACCTCCTCTGACTCCAGACTTGCATACCCAAGTGACTGCCCAGTGTCTCCACTAGTATCATCAAAACTGAACTCCTAATCTTCTCCCAAAACTTACTCCTTGTGAATAAATGGCAATGCCATTCTCCCAGCTCAGGGTAGTTCTTTGACACCTTTTCTCACACTTTATATCCAATTCATCCACCAACACTGTTGGTCGTACCTTCAAGATATACCCAGGATCATACCAGTCCTCACCTCACTGCGATCACCCTGTCCCAAGCCACTCATCGTCCTTTGTTGACCTTTTGTCACAGTAGCCTCCTAACTGGTCTGCCTCTCTTCTGGCCTTCTCTTTTTGACGTTTGTACTTTCTCTTCCTCTAGAGGAAGGTCCAGGTCTTGCCCTCTCTCCTCCTTTTCATCCCCGCCCAAGTGTCCCGTATCAGGAAAGCCTTTGCTGGCGTCCTTCGACCCTCAAACTTCCAATGTCTCGTCCCTGTTCTGTTTTCCTCCCTAACACATATCACTATTTATCATATTTATTTGGTTGTCTGTCTCCTACAGCCGGAACCTGTAAGAACAAGAATTTCCTTTCATTCTGATTTGTGGGACTCAGTAAATACTTCTCCATTGAGTGAAGTGAAAGAATGGCATAAAGAAAGGGCAACATATGTTGTTTCCAGATCCAAGTTAATTGTTCTAGATCTGAGACCTGTGGGAGACCTGAGCTGTGTTCTGAGGGGAAGGCAGACTCTCCCATCCTGTGTGTGTGCGCGTGTGCGCACGTGCCTGTGACYACTTGACATTTCAACGATAAGACACTGTGGCAATCTATGTGCTGCACATGAAGAATGACATCTCAGTTTCTACTTTTTTTTTAGAAAAAAAGATCATTAGCATACTTATAAGTATATAAATGAAAACTTTTCATTCTGTCCTCAGTGTCTTCTATTTTTACCGTCTCAAATGTGAGATTGCAACCAGAAGCTGGAGAGAGCATGCGGGCCTTTGGGAAAAACAATAGTTATGGCAAAAGTCTATCAAACAGCAAGCACTGATGAGCACAGCCCTCTCAAGAGAGCAGGTAAGATGACCTACTTTTACTTGGAAGGTAATATTTAATAGATACTGAATAGATCCTTTGAATGAAATATTTCAGACTCATTTTTTTTTCCCTGAAACTATCTTACGAGTCCCTTGGGTTTATTATGGCATTTATCAGACATTCTACTGAGGCAGAGTGAATTCAGTCATTTCCATATTTCCAGACACCTACTAGAAATTCCCTATTTCCAGGTACGTACTAGAGTCTAATAACCAAAATTATATTTTGCCTTGCACTTTAGTTATRTAGTCCTAAGTGAACTGTTTGAGTCTTGAGCAGATCATCTTCTCTGCTCACACAATCTTCATTGAGGTCATAAAAAGGTTTGCTCTGAGTTGTATCTAAGCCACAGACCTGCTTTGTTTGGTCCACACACTCTGAATTGGTTGCTCACATTTAAAAATTGGGAGATTTTACACAAAGACTCGATAGATTTCTAGCTTTCCTGGAAAAATCGGCAATTCTGGCAATACTGCACTCCTATTCCTACCAGATTTCGTGTGTGACCCAATCATGGCTGACTCCTATGGAGAGGATGTAAGCTCCCCTGTTGAACTTAGGTGCCATCTGAGCCTCTTTACCCATTTCTGATTTCTGTCTGGCTCCTGGCAGAGACTTTATCATGATGAAGTTTCTCCTTTGCACTGTTTCAGTTTTTGACCTCTACTATTTTGCAGACAGGAAGCATAATATAAACATGGTGAAGTCTAGGTGATATACCCTGTCCCCGTCATCATATGTGCTATATAGGGACAAACAGGAGATGACAACTTCTGGAAAGACTTTTCTTGATTGCCAGATGGAAATATATGGGGTTTATGTTTGTTTGTTTTTTATTGGGGAGGGGGGTTGGTTTTCTTTGTTTCTGTTTTTGGAATTCTGTRTGTATGTGTGTGTGGGTACACACATGTGTATTTTCCCTTTTAATGTAATATCATATTCTAAAGCAAATAAATAAGTAACCTGCCCTTGTAGGCAAAACTKTTTATACTGATTCAAAGTTCAGTAATTGTTCAAGTGAATTGGAGATTACAGGAGGCATTCTTCCTTCCTCTTTTAATGTGAAATATGATAAGAGGCTAAATTGACAGCAAGGTAAAGACAGTGAATTTAAGTATGCAGATTTTTCTTATGGGTGATCTACCAGTGCTTTGAGCTTTTTTAAGACTTGCTTTTATGTGCCCTCAACATGGGGGCCAATGTAGGCCTCTCAGGGCTGTGTTGGTGGTGTATGAATGATTCAGAGGAAAGAGATCCCTAGATTAAAATATGGTAAATGACAGTCAAAAGATGTTACTGTTAAACTTGAGTAAGACTTCTCCTTCTTCAGGCTGTTTCTCCTCATTGGATATAAAGTTATCTAGAAGCACAAGTAACTAGATAGAATTTGAGCTCTTACTCTGAACTTTGATTGACCCAAGAATCAGGCTGTTTTTGACCAGTTACGTCCTCATTCTAAGAATGTTTTGATTCATGAGGATTGTGGTATATGCTTTTTAAAAGTATTTAACCTGCATTATCATAATGAGTACCCCTGGCTTTATAAATCCCTTAGCCAATTTGGTGGAACAAACAAAAAGTGGACATTATTTGTGCTCTGCCTCCCACACGCACACAAGCAACCCTGAATTTCAGTCACAGTGCCATGTCCTTTCTTGGCTCTTTTGAGATCTCCTGACCTTAGCCTGGCTGTCAAAGCTTCTAGGATGTGTTTCAGGTCACCTCATCCTTGTAAAAATCAAATCAAGCAAACTGGATAGAGCATTGCCCAGACAGTCTCAAAAATTGCTAATGTTTGAAAGGAGATTTTTAAAAGGTGCTGAGAACTTCAGTCCTCAGTATTTGAAAGTCTTTACAAAAATGCATTTTCATGGCAATATGATTTTTAAACTAGATCTAAGGTTATATCTGCACAGTGGAAGCTTTTTCTCTACAATTACTTGACAGCAATGCTAATTTTTTCTCCACAAGTTTTGTCTTTTCACACCAACTTTTAAAGCTTGGATATTATTGTTGTTCTAGCCAAATACCTCAGCTTGAGTCAACACAATGTGGAGGAAACATCTCAATTTTTCTCCTCTCAGAAAAGCTGCGGGAAAGCTGGATTCTAACAGTTTTCTGTCAGTCAACAGAAAAAGAAATCGTTTTAATTTCTCATCTTTGTGGGTTTTAAAATTTTAATCAAATAGGGCTGTCTTAGAGATCAAATAAGATAGCCAGTTTATTGGCCTCATACAGCATATGGAATGGCCTCACTCTGACCAGCAACTAATTATTAAGTTATAGACATTATAGAGCAAAATGTCTACCCAAATAAGGCATCCTTAGAGGAAAAATGTGTGATTCCCTCGGCTTTGATTTCTTTATTGTTGTTGAATTCATTTGCTGTTTAGAGCAGACTGTGGCATCTTAAATTTCCCTTGAATGTCCCAGTTCTTTGTAAAGCCCAGAGAGATTGAGAAAAAGGAGTGRGAAGATATTGGGGGCTCAAAGAGGCTGAATGCAGACTAGCATTCTAACCGTTCCTCTCAGGGGAGTTATAGGGAGGTACATGTGGCAGGCATTGCATCCCTCTGTCTTCCCAATGATGGAGGGTTAAGTAGGAAGGAATGTTTCAATCCTAATTTTTCTCCCATAACTCAGTGTCACATTGTTTCTTTCCTTGCAAACTGAGGTCACTTCAATTATTTAGTTAATAATGCTGGATTTACATAAATTGGCCTTAGTAGAAAAGCTAATGAAATGCATTTTGCTTTTCAGCAATTCATTTTAAAAACTTATAGTGAAATTAAATAAAAAGAAAACCACAAGCTCCTAAGTTAAAAATGGGATAAGTGCACTGTTGATCAAAATACTGTGCCACATTTTGTTATCCTCTAAAGACAGCTTGTTCCCACTCACCACCATTGAAAATAAGACCTTTCTAAAGTCTGAGAAAGCCTTAAATATGAATAGAATTTCCCTAAGGACAAGGCCAGAAGCTACGTTGAATATCACATCCATTAGTATCACTTGTATTTGAACAGAGTGATCCCAGACATGCCCCTCTCTTGAACTTAATTTTCCAGTCATTCTGAATTGACATAGGAAGTGCTTGGTCACTGTCTCCTTCTTCTTTTACTGAATTCAAGAAATAAGAATGGCACTACTCTTTAGACATATGTTTTGCAATTTTCCTGAAACAGTAGGTACTCTTTTCAATCAAGCAATTGATCTTCAACCCCCATTAAATTCATAGTAAATCTATGAATATCTGTCTACTGTGTTAAAGAATTTGATTCAAGTGCAAGGGGTTCACTGTGTGCATACCTTGGTGACCCTCTCCCCTCCTTTTAGCATGTTTTCTTTGCTAGTCCAAAATTATTTAAGAATTGCAGAATGATGGAAAAATGGCTATAGAGAATCACTGCTTGACTCAGTCATTAAGCAATGATTTCTTAAAAGTAGTCTGTCAAATAAAGAGGATAGAATACATTGATTGCTCAAGAAAATTTAATTAAATAAGGTAAAGGGTTTTTTTTAGGAACCAGATTCTAGACAGAGCTTGGGATACCAGACCCCTGAGGAGTTCTTCAAATCCAGTTCCTGGTGCCCATGAATCTGCATTCTAGGAACTCAAAGGGATGTTGATGCAGGTAGCATTAGATAATGAATTCCCCAGCACATAATGCAGGAATTATATATTTATGCAATAAAATAATCACCTATTTTGGGTCAGGATAAAGACAAACTAGGAAAATAATCAGTGCTTTATCACATAAAATTAAGCAGTTCCTTGTTACTTCCTTCCCTCCTGCCCTTTCTGCCTTCTTTCTTTCCTCTCCCCACCCTCCTTCCCTCCTTCCTTTCTCCTCCTTCTTTCCCCCTCCTTCTTTCCTTCCTTCCTCTCTCCCTCTCTTTCCATCTTTCCTTCCTCCTTTCACTTCTTAAAGAACGGAGTTGTGTTGTCCAACACAGTAACCACTAGGAATATGTGCCTATTTAAATTTTAATTGATTTCAGTTAACTTAAAATATTCTTTCCTCAGTAGCAGTACCACACTTCAAGTGCTCGAAGCTGCATACAAGTCACCACTTTTAGGACGATACACAACATTTCCAGGATCACAGAATGTTCTACTGGACAATGTTGGTGAAAAGCATTTCTCCCACCTACGTTTTTATAAAGCAGAATCAGGAAGAGAAAACTGAATTAAGTAAAAATGTGTTTCATTTCCAGATTAAGTCCCATTGTGTGTGAGGAGGAGAAAGATGAGCAAAGAGACAAGAGCCAAAGTTTTGAGTGGGATAGAGATGCACAGCTGAGAGTGTCGGAGCRCTGTGCAGACACACCAAGCCTAGTGCCCACGGGCGGGGACAGGAGAGACTGAGACAGAGCTGGTGTCAGAATCTTTCAGGAGAAGGTGACCAGGTCAGGCTTCCTCAGTTAGCAGTGGTCTGTGAAAAGAAGGATGGGTTGATAGTCTAAGTCGCCTGGCATGTCACTCGGAACCCAACAGTAGCTTTAAGTTTATCTGCCATCTCAACTCTGGAGAAAGAGCCACCTATTGCTCTCCTCCGTGCTGTGACATTGTGGTGGCTCACTTTTTCAGTCCCTACATCAACTCACATTGCTTTCATCTTCCCTTCACTTTGTGGCTTCAGCTGACTTGTTTCTGCTTATTCATGGATCCTGCTCATTGTCATTTCTCTTTGTCCCTCTGCCTCTGGGACAGTCTGCCACTGAGTTCTTTTTGCCTCAGATTGAAACTGTCCTAGAGAGCAGCTCTGATTGCTGTAGCCATCATCATGAGCACGCAGAGAGCAAGGCTGCCGTGTCAGTCACCCCCATATGAACTGTTGGCTGACCGTGGGCTGTTGTAGGTCAGTCTTGGATCCCTGGGGCCATCAGCTGAGCTGTGAATGGGGTGGACAACCTGTCCTTAAGGACCCCTCAGAAAAGGGCTCTGTCCTTAGCCATCCTGGAAGCTTTTATGAAGC